TGATTTCGTGGATGTGAGTATGCAACCCCATCTTTGGGAAATAAAGTTTGTTCGTTCCGTTTGTTATGAATGTGGATTCTGTCTTTGATTGGATGGATTAGATGGATGAACGCTGAATATTATGAATGAATGAATTAATTACTGAATAAATATTTTTTTTTGTTATTTATGAACATTTTTTTAACTTGGACGATGTAATTGTATTTTGTGTACGGTCATTTTAGGACTTTTCATTTGGGTTGATTGTATATTATTATTTGCTCGTGTCCCGACAAGTGATCTCAGGCTACTTGTCATTGAAGTGGAGCCAGCGTGCGGAGTAGAGAAATTGAAAAATATTATAACCAATACGACTACATAAAATCTGGTAACGAAGAAATAATAAAAAGGAAATTTCAATAATAAGTAAGCCTACCAATAGCTACTTAAAAAAATACTATTTAATATATGCCATAAAAAGCAACGAAATGTTATATATAATTTACCTGATGCAAGTCGGTTTTTTAAACGTAGTTTATTTTTTATTTTTGTATGATTACAAACGCATTATTCGGGAACGAACGCATCGAAAATTTGAATAGTACCGCGCCGCCTTTCATCTGATGTCTCATTTCGTGTTACACTTACACTGACACTTCGTGACACAAAGAAATTTATAATATAATGATCTTCTTTGAAGTTTTAAAAATAAAAAAAACTCCAATTCAAAACTATTGCGCGACTCAAAATCATTGCGTTTTATCAACGAGCGTTTACAACAAGTAAATAGTAATATTAATTACCTACCTACTACTTTTTACTATATATGCCTTTTATAAATTTTTAAAAGCTATAAAATATTAAAAAAGCTAAAACCGTTTTGCTTCTTTTAACTCTATACCTAGAGTATTGCTTAATAGGTATACCTAATAAATATTCGATTTACTACTTTTTTTCCGTTAAACGTGCTAATTGCCGCGACTACTAATACTTAATAATTTAGAATAAAAAAAAACGACGACATTGTCAACATCTATGACATTTGAGGACTGCCCTTGATTTCTCTGGGATGCCATGACCAGATCCGGGTTTCCTAATCATGGTGCCATCCTTGAGATATCTCCTTTCCAACAAATAATCATCAAAATCGGGTTATAAATGACGAAGTTATCAGGGAACACACATAAAAAAAATATACACGGTTGAATTGAGGAACCTCCTTCTTTTTTGAAGTCGGTTAAAAATGACTGCTCCTTTAATTTAATAGTCGTATTTCTGGTAACTAACCTAAACAGATAACGCGTTTCGGGAGAAGGACGGAAAGAAAAATGATTTTGTATTTAACTATAGAGAAGACGTAAAAGAAAAATTGATTTTGTTATTTAAATATAGGTATTTTCAATAACAGTAAGTACTTACATACATCAATATAAAAAGTTTTTTACCAAAATAAGAACAGACTTCAACTTAGACCCGAACATACATCAAAAAATATAAACATCCGAATTGACCAAAAAATACCTACTTTTTACTTGTATCTATGATTATAAAAATTAAATTATATTATCACTTGACCACGACTATGTGACCCCCCCCCCCCCCCCCTGGCACCAAAGCTGGATCCGCCCTTGAGTATTTCAGAACCAGTGTGGGCAAAAAGATGACATGACATATTAGATAATTTTTATCAAAAATTTCTTGGAAGCGAGGAAGCTTCAATATTCTATTAAGAAAAATGTCCCCATTCAGTTTCACGTCACTACAGTGGAAGCGATCAAAGTCTTTGTTCATACACGTTTAGAACATAGTTATCAGTGGTTTATTAAGGTGGAGATAAATTTAGGTTGGTGAGATAAGCTTCACACATAAATCATAATTCATTCGGAGTTTATTATATCCTTGGCAGCTGCCACTGTGTCTTCTTTAGCAAACGCGACCGACTTTAAAGTTGCTTTTGTGTTTATTTAGGTAGAACTCACAGTCAGTCTGTACCCGACTTACGTACAAGATATGTTTGATGACTCCGTGGCTTCGGTGTCGGGGGTCGTGGGTTCGATCCCCACACGGGACAACTATTTGTGTGACCAATTTTTAATAAAATTAAGTGGTACTATATACATATATTGATATGCTTAGAAAGTTATAATGGAGCAGTAGGGTTTTTTGAAATTGTTTGAAAATTAAAATAAAACAAACAAATGGTAGCAATAATATTACAGTTGAAACTCATAAGAATTTAAATTCTACATTTGTAATTTTACCTCGTTTAAATGAATACAGAAATGGAGACAAAGTCAAATCCAGTCGGAGAACAATATAGCGTAGTGGAACTAAAAATAAACGTCACAAGGCGCGCAATTACTACAGACTCAGCGCTGTGCGTTCTCTCCTCGGTGACCCTTGTTTAAGCCGATGACAGATGACCGCAGCGAAAACACATTCACAGAGAGCACAATCCCCGCAACGTAAACTTTTGACGGGGATTTCGGAATATTATTAGAATTCAACCGTACGACACAGGCAGTTAGTTTATAGTTCGATTGAAATTTTATAACAAAGCAAAGTTCTTGATTAATTAGTAATTAGTCACGATAGCTCATTGTCCTGTTTTTAATTCGTTATAGAGTATCGGTCCCCGGTTCCGGCACCGATGAAATTGTTAATTTTAAGTGCCGTCTTTACGTGCTCAGCGGTGATGGAAAACATAGTGAGGAAGCCTGTAATTTCCTGTATTTTCGAAATAATAAAAAAAAACTATATTTTCCGCCAATCCACAATGGGGTTGTGTGGACTATGCCCTAATTCTGTCTATACAGAGGAGGCCATTGTCCAGCAGTGGGACATATATAGACTGTTACTTTATTTTACTTTTCTTTTAACATGCTTACACTTTGGAGCGTCAATGATCTTCGAAGCCGGTCCCGAATAAATACATTCGGAAGAAAATTGTAAAACTCTTTTACTTATCAATGTGTTTCTCAAGTAAATTCACGAAATCATTATTTGTACATCACATTCATATTGAGTAACGTAAATGTTTACTTCCTCTTCACCTGGGATGGAGATGACTGAGGCGCAGATAATGTACAAGATCCTTTTTAACGCGGAAATATAAAATATTTTATCTTCGCGCGCGAAGCAAAAGTAAAAAATATATTAGTATTCCTGTTGTGATCCTGGACGGCGATCGATTACACTCATATTACCCAACGTCTTATATAATTTAATATTAAACCAGATCTCTTTAACAAGTGGGCAAATCGCAACATAATTCTGTCCCTGTAACTGTTTGCACTTGTCATTTAATTGAATGCACATGTTTAGAGTTCCCCAACTATAATTCAAATATATCTTTGATGATTTCAGTCTGTATTACAGTTTCAGCGTATTACTACAATTTCATCTATATTTCAATGAGATATAAAAAAATTGTAGAGATTAAAATAAAAAATATTTATACCAAAACCTTTCGATCATTTTTTGTTTCTCTATAAAGTCTGGATTCGTATGCGAAGATCTTTATTTTAAATAACGATGTCGACGGAATCGAATTAACTCATTACAATTTTTTTACAAGACAACAGGTTCATTATAATCTGCACATAAACATTTTCTACAAGTTTAAAAATTTTAAATATAAAGTTATCAGAATTTAAATATCCCTTGAAGATACAACATGATTGCAAATATCTTAAAGAAATCAGAAAGAACTAGATAAAGGGTAAAAAAAATAGTATTTTCTAGGATTCGAGGGACCAAGGTGCGTATTTTATTTTGTATCCATCTGTAGGAATTCATAACATCCCATCTTTTTTATTAGATTCCCATACAAACAAAATATTGACAGGACATTTTATTAAATCCTTTTTCATATTACACCATCTGTTAACAAACATTTCTCCAAACCGATTTAATGGGATCGATCGAAGTTAACAAAACATGGACTGAATGTAAACTGTTAATGTTGCAATGTTGGCTTTCGGCATGAATATATGGAACATGTTTGAACTGAGTTTGTACAAACGAATGTAGTAACCCTCAGCTTGAAACTATCGAAACGAAAACAGAATTTAGCTATAAATAACTTGTATACTTGTAACGCCAAATTTGGATTTTTCTATATGTTGTGTCAGACTAGTTTTTCTCATAACAACTACAATTTCTTCTCCGTTGCTGATTACACAATAATAACGTGATTACACGTTAAACAGTTTGGAGGAGCGTGGGTTAAAAATTAAAAAGCCATTGGCTCGATAAGCCTGTGTAATTTGGTCCGTTTCTTTGGAGCGAGAGTACCGTTTTATCATTTTAAGATTGAAGTATACGGTAAAAGTACTTTATGATTTATTGAGCTAAGAAATAATACTGATTACATTTCAAGAAAAAAATGTATATTTAAACATTTAAATTACATTAAAACTTTAGACGATTCTGTTTATACACGTATTCCGTGAGCTAAACGTATTTAGTAATTAGAATGCCAAGTTCTAACCCATAACTGAGTAATAAGATTGAACGAGATGTTTGTAGAAGAATGAACAACGTGACAAACTCCCGATATAAATATCCTGTTTGCTACAAACAGATCTCTAGGGGTGAATTTTGTTACTAATTTAACTGTTTGAACGTCATTAGTAAAATGAACTATTCCGCCGTTGTAATGCTTATAGCGTTTTTTAAATTGTTTAGTTTCATATTGGTTCTAAAACCACTATATTAGTATAAGACAAACCTATCCTGATCATATTTTTTCAATAAATTACGTCTTTCAACAAAATTCATTGTGTCATCAGTGACATAAGGTTATAAAAAAAATGTGACATTAAGAGGCCGAGAATATACATTTATTTTACTGCTTCGATACCAGACAAATTCTTCGTCAACTTGTTCATCACAGTCTAAACCTGGTAAAAGTGACAGGTGATGAACAGACTGCCGTAATTTATAGCGTGCTCTAATCACACAAAACTGTAACGCCAAGCCCGCAGCGGCAGCCAAATTGGTGAACAGGTGGTACTCACAGGTGGCCCAGTTCGTGGGCGATGACGAAAGCGCTGGTGAGTCCCTCGTCCCTATCGATGGCGGCAGAGCGGGTGCGCGTGCAAATGCCTCCGACAGAGGCGAAGCCCGACGGGCCCCCCAGCGGCGCCCTCGTCAGCCAGATCGTGGCATCCCAGCCGGTGCTGTCTAAGCCCAAACAATTGTTAATTGAGAAAGTGCTAAAATCATCACCATCATCATCATCATCATCCTGCCCCTATCCCACCTAGGTGGGGTCGGCTCAACATGTGAATCGTGTTGTAGGATGCTTTAGCTACGTTTTACACGACTGGCCGCCTGCCTGACGTCAACCTTTCTTGGGAGACCAACACCCATTTCCGGATCAATCATCTGTGGCTCACGCAAATACTTGTCCCATGTGGGAATCGAACCCACAAATCCGGACACCGAAGCCAATAGTTTAGCAACGGCTCCACCGAGTGCTAAAACGTCAAAGTAAATTTAATCAAGGCAAGAACGGTAACGAGTTAGTGGAATTTCCTCAAGGAAAGATGTTGAGCTCTCTACCGTTAATACAGAAACAAGGTTGGTCCATTAACTTGTAAGAATGTTTCAATTACAACTTCGTCAATTAAACGGTAACATCTCAAAACTATCAAATATCAAACTTCATCAAATTAATTATATCAAGTAAATAAAATCTTCAAGGATTACGAGAAGCATTAAGAGAGCACTCTACCTGTCAGACTAGTTTAAAGAGAGCCATTAATAGAGACGATTTGGCGAATCAATCTGGTAGTTCCACTCTATATCAAATAAAGTAGTTCTTCAATCGTAATAAGTAGTTATTTTCACGGACACACCGTTTACGTTTTTTTTTTTGAGTTTGCGTGTTTTATTAATTGGTCTGCTAGATGTTACTGTAAACAGAATTTTCTCGGAAATAACTCAATAGAATAACGACGAGTGACTTCTTGCTAGACCATAATTAAATACATGTGACCGAACGGCAACATCTGCTAGACAATAATATGATTACGTAGTATCATATTAATTAGTCATAAATTGAATAATAATTTAGATTTTAACAAGTTGAACATTACGTTTTAATAGAAGGTAACAATGATAAGTACTAGAGGCCGCGAATCGCTATAACATATAATGGGAAAATAGCGAGTAGTGCCAAATATGAATGTATTTGGCATTACTCGACATTTTTAGGATTCCGTACCCGAACGTTAAAACGGACACTATTACTAAGCCTCCGCCGTCTGTCTGACCGTCTGTCCTGTCACCAGGCTGTATCTTATTAACCGTGATAATTAGACTTTTAAAATTTTCACAGATGATGTATTTCTGTTGTCACTATAATAACATATACAAAAAAAAATATTTAAGTATAACAGATATGCTTTTTTTTTTGCCGATTTTATAGATAATGTTACGGAACACTTCGTGCACGAGGGCGACTTGCACTTGACGAGTTTTTTTTTTGTTATTTTTCGAATAATGAAAAATTGTGTCTACTATGCGACAGTTGGCGAAGAGTTGTCAAAATCAAACTGTAATTTATCTTATAAAACTTTAACTATAACAAACGTAGTATCAATATAAATATAAAAATCAGTCATGTTGAATTTAATTAATTAGGCTTTTTAGTAAACATTAACAGTCCAAAAAGGACAGATTGTTATGTAATACTAGGTTTTTTGAATGATTGAGATGAAGTCCGTTGTGCATTTTTGCATAAACCGAACCTACCTCAGAAAATAATCTTTCATTCAATAACAATTCGCGGCATCTCTAATAATTTCTACTGATCATAACCGTTCTAGAAAACTATTTATTTATAATATATCTATGTTATTTTCTCATTTTATTGTTACTTATAAGTTCCCTGTGCCAAGTTGTACGAAGACAATGAACATTTTTCACATGATATTATGGCTCGTATTATTTTCAGGTTGAAATGTTTGAATTTCATTTTTCCGTTGCTAATCGTTATTTTTCTTTTCCAGGCAACAATAAAGTTTTCAAATAAAATACTTTGTAAAGAAATAAAATGTGAAAAACATATGAAAACTTACCCGCAGGAAGTTTCATTAGATGTCTATAGTTCCATTTGTTGGCAGCTTCCAAAGATTTCTTTACGTTGCCGTATTTTATAATCGGATCCTTTTCTTCGTACATGAACAAATTGTTTATGACGAGAGTGATGTTCGAATTAAGCGACGGGTCGTTGAAGATGGCACTGACCTTTAAAGTATTACATAAATGGTCGATTTATCGGGTCGCGTACTAAAAATACAACATTAGCCGTCATACTTACGATGTTCATCAGGGCTAATATGTAATGTTTCACTCGCTCTTGGCCGTGGAACTTCAACATCGTGTGGTCGGCCACGATGGCCATTTCGAGCCACAGTCCCTTAACGCCTGCAACGGAAATAATACAATGCATTGCCGATTCCCGTTCGCGGAATACCATAATACGACACCACGATCGCACACACCTGACAGGGGCCTGGTAACCGGACGCGCGTTGCGAAATTGATCGATACCGTCCGAGTGTTCGCCGTGGCGCGGGCGCACGTGCGGCAGCGGTGGCTCGTCGTCAAAGTCGAACTCGAGGTCGGCGATCGTGTCGCCGGTCAAGTTGTAGGCCGCCGGGAGCTCGGACAGCGTGACGTCCCGCCGGCGCAGCACGTGGGAGCCCCTGCCGTCGGGCCTCGTCGGCTGCAGCACGAACTCCTCGCCGCCGACCTGCAGCAGCCCGTACAGCTGGCCACCGCACTCGGTGACCGTCACGGAGGACTCGTCCTCGTAGAGCACACGCCCCTTGTAGAACTGGCACTCGTCGTAGTAGGGCGACCGGATGGCGCGGTTCTCCTGCAGCTCGAGGTGCCACCCGAAGAGATGCAGGTGGTGTATGGTGGGATGTGGGTGGCGCTGGTGCTGCGTGAGGGCCGAGGGCGAGAGCAGGAGCGGCCTCTGTGGTGGTCTCCATGCCTGCACGGCGATGAGGAGCGTCGACGCCCACAGCCAGCGCGCCATCGTCCGCGCGCCGCCGCGGGCCCTGCCGCTCTGGCCGCCGCATGCCGCGCTGCGCTCACGCATCTACGCACATGGCGGCCGTCTCGCCGCTCGGTAGGTAAACGACTCCGCGGTTTATAGATTGCATTGAGCCCCACGCTCCACGCCTCATGCGTCACTTAGTAAACAAAGGGCGAGCGCCTGTTTTGTTTTATAATCGCCGCGCGTGTTACACATGCGCGATTAGTTGCGCATTTGTTCGGTGCCTCCGACTAACGCAGTTTCGTGATAAATAAACCATCCCGTCTGATATGGTGTCTATTTACTTTATAAAGATGAACCGTGAGCATACGGTTAGGAAACGGGAAAAAAATGCGATTAAAACTTTGAAATGTTCTTATAACAACACAGCAGGTTCGCATTCCCGGAGCGAACGGCGAAGACCTTTGTCGGAACTTTTTTATCGGAATGAACTCGAGACATCGGAATGTACTGCCATAAAAATGTGACACAACCACGACATCGCATAAAATTCTGAAAGGCGTTATATTGCCAGCGGACCCACCCTCGATCTTTATTATTTCGCACTGCGGGGGGATAATAAATGACCGGCCGAATAGGGCTCCCGCGGAATGCAATTACGTCTACGTATTAATAAATATTGTCTTGAAAAGACTACGGGCGCGAGCTATGATACCATGGTCGTAAGTAAACTAGTATCATATTAAGCGTATCATGGCATGAACTGGGTATACGTAAGGCAGGTGAGTGACCGGTGTAGATCGCTGACGGGCTGCGGGCGTTGGCGCGAGCAAATTATCGATGAAGAGATAAGCACAAAGCAATGGGACACGTGAAGCGATAATTTTATGGAGGACGCAAATTTCTTAGCTCCGTATTTCAAATTTGGTAAGAAATCTAAATCCTAAGATAAGAATTTAAAGAAATCACTTTTCTTTTTCATATGCATACATGGTATACTTTGAGAAAACGTTAAATATACAATATTTAATAACAAAATAGAGTATCCTAATATAAGTGTACCTTAAGACAAAAGATGGACGCTAACAAAAGGTTTCGTATTTCCAGCAGCTTTGTTGTATATTAATTAAAACGTTAATTGTAGTCAACGTAAAACAACGCCCGGGAACAATTATTCCACCCAGCGTGTTCACATTGTTACTTTATTTTTAAATTTCTATCGGTGACTGGTTGGAAATGCATTTTTATTTTTAGACCGACGACATTTCTTTCAAGAGCGTCGCATGCTTTATATGTTACCGTAAAGTTCTTTTTTATTTCTTTTCGTTCTCAACACTTTTATAGTCTATTTTTTATTATCCTGAAAATAGAAGCGTGACTTGTTCATATTTAAAAATTAAAGACATGAAGCCTTTTATTAAATATTAAAGAAGGTAAGTCTGTACGTTTGCTAATGCTATTTACCGTGCACATTCTAACCATTTCTTTGAATGAAATGCAGAAGTGTCATCGTTGTTAGATAAAATTAATTCTCGGTAATCAACAGAAGTAGAATGCTATTTAAATAAGATTTCTTATACACATAAACACATTGACACGGAGGAAATAGCTGTATGTAATAAAATGCTCGACTCAAAAGATATTCGTTGTTTTGAATTTTTCTTTATTTTGAAATTTCTATTCGGAAGACTCTTTATTTTGATAGTATACTAAAATTATTACCGTAATGATGATTCTCCATCAAGTATATGTATTTACATTAGATTTATATAACTTTACGGTAGTAAGGAGACTATGCATTAGAACCCAATGCCGTATGGATATATGTTCAATTAAATTTGATTTTATTTTCAATTTTCGTACAAAAAAATTAAAAAAATGGTAATACACTTTACCAGTTAGTTTGTTAATTTATACCATTACATATTATAATTACATGTACTATAACTTTTCTACCGTAAATGAATGTCACTTATACAACTTCGTAAACATAAAGATTCATTATATTGAGACTTTATAAAAGTATCAGTTATTATGATCCATGTTCCACAGACATTTTTTCCTCTTTATAGTAGAACGTACTGTTAAAGTTATGGAAATTCAATACAAACACTTTGTACCTTCACTTAGACCAATAGTTGAAGAATCAACTAGGCAATGCGCAAAAATTACGTTCCAAAAATTAAGCAATTTGTTTAAAAATCTCCGTAAGTACCTATCTCGACTTATCGTGACTAGCATAAAATGTCATCACAAATACAGACTACCGGGAATAAATAAACCGCAAGTCCTGACTGCGAAACAAGCGTATAAAATAAAAACCAAAGTGAAAAAATATATAATTCGAATGCCATTCATTTGTTATTACAATTAGCATGCATTTCAGATGTAATCAGATGATGTCATTTCCGTAGTGTACATACATTTTGTTGCGTTTTGAGGCAGCGTTCGGCCGTGCTTCTATCATCTTTACCCGATCGATTAGGATTTAAATTCAGCGCTAAAAACTTGACCACATTGGATTTGAACCCCTGAAGCGATCACACCGATCAGCCACTGAGCCAACGCTGCCCAGGGAATATAACAAAACGGAGACAAACAATGACGTATACGACAGATTTCACACGCAGTGCTCAAAATCCATTTGGCACGCTCCTAGTCTTTGTTTGACTATGACGCAAAGTTCACAAATGAAAACGTACATTACAATAATTCCGCGAAGGTTACCAAACTTAAACGTAGTAAAATGTAAACCAAAACGTAAACTTGCACGTTCAGCGTTGTTTTATTGCGGCGTAAAAATTTTAGAAGACGATACGCAGACGTCGGGAACGAGGTTCAATCGCTTATAGATACTAATAATGTTTGACTTTTGTACTTTCTGTTTTGCTATCTTTGCCTCTGGTTGAGATGTTTTAGAGTGACTTGTACTTTCCTTTAACTACGCTTTTCGTGAAACTTTTCCTTTACTGTGAAAAGTTTGTGTTCATTGTCCTTTGTAAAACGTCCTTATAACGTTTTACATTCACGAATTTCATATGGACAAGCAATCGGAATCATAGTAATTATCACACAATTTTTTTACACGTGGGAACCGAACGCACGACCTGCAGCACAGAAGTCAATAGAAGTTTTACAACTGCGCAAATCGAGCCGATATTAGTTCCAACATAGATCACTTTTTCACTAAATCTTTAATAGACAATATTTTATCTCAACTTACTGAAAATAAAATTAGTTAATTGTGTTAGTCTGTCCTTTTTCTTAGGTTTTTAGCTTGGGCAGAACATCTAGATGCTAGAACATCTCTAATAGGGTATGATCATAACTTTGTATTGGTGAAGAATAATTTGAAGCCGTTGCCAAAAAACTAGATACGCAATCTCGCAATCCCAACCATTATTTCCTAAGGAAACGCTATCTTTCGTTTTTTCTTGTGTTGTGTATTCTATAAGTCTGTATAATGGTATAAGTCTATGAATTTCTTAGAATTGACAGTTTGTTTTAACAAGTGAATGCGAAAGCTGCCTTGCAGGATTTTGGTCGAAAACTCTGACATATATTCAAAGCAACAACGGAGCTTCTGTAAACAAACGTTCGCGACTTGTAATAATAACTTGTTAACACTTGATTAAAACCAGTTAATTAAAGAAAAATAAAACTGCCAAGATCTTTCTTTTACCATATTTTTATTTTCTATTAGCATAATGTGATTAAACATCTTTAATGAGCTTGGGCTTAGTAAAGATAATTATATTATCAACTTGTCGACGGAACCTTTGCTTCTGTGATTTGGCCCAAAGCTATGTATTAGACTAACTATTAGATACTTATAACTTAGTTATAGTAAACCTAAACATGCAATTCAGGTTTATAGAGCAATTGAGTTTTATCTTAACAACATAATAGATAATATTTAATATGACCTAACGTTAACAAGCAAACATGAATAATTGTTTATAATTAAAATTCTCCTTGTATTCTGCTTTTAATTAAAATTTACTTGACTTGTTTGTAATGACTCCGGCAAATAAATTTGAGTGCGATTAAGAGTTTTATCGTACCTCGTAATGTTGCGTTATTTTGCTTCAGCGTAGCCGTAAAGTTCAACTATCGTGAGTGATAAAACCGAGAGGTCTGTTTTATGTTCCGAACACCTGTTCAAAAGTCAACGAATGGCGTCCCACACCACTACATAAAGCATCAACGTAAAAAGCACTTAATATGGTAATGATAATAATAGCGTGACGGCCCGAGCCTGAGTTGTGAGCCCTCGAGCTTAGTCACCATAACGCGTAATAATAATACGCCGAGGTTCAGACTAGGCACCCCGTGCGCTAGGCCACCTCAAGCCCGTCGAAATTGTAAAGGCCCCTAAGGCCAACAGTGGCTCATCAAGCCCCCAAAAAAATTTGTGGTGACTGATCAATTAGGGTAACTACCTACCTTTCTACAAGATAGGCAAAGGTAGTCAACGTGGTACTGTTCCTATTATTGCTTATATAAATTATTATTATCTAATTCAATTGCGTTGACAAGAAGCCGCTGTATAACGTACACTTTAATTGAAGTGTAAAGCAGAGTAGAAACCCTATTTATGTTAAACATGGCCACCAAAAAAAAACTTTCTTTGTTGAAAGCTTTCAATAAAAAAACCACTAGTTCACTAGAAGTTGATTAACTTATCACTAGTTTTTGTAGTCTCTTGAGTTATAACTTTTTAATGTTACATGACCTAAGTAGATCATACCAAATATTTGATGTTAGTACATCAAATAGTTAGCGTGATTTTACTAACAATGTTTAGTTTTATAGATGCACGCTGCATAATGTTGTTATACACCTGATCAAAAAATACGTACTGTAGTTTACATAGTAAATAGCTATGACTAATAAATGGCTTCAAGGAAGTAAACTAGACAAAGGCGAAAAGACATTTATGTGTGTATGTACCTATACGTGGGTAAGAATAGGTCAATAGGAAATGCAATACAAAGCGAGATAATTTAAAATAACAATTGTACAGTTTGTACTGAGGTTGGACTAAATAACCGGTACCTACTGCTAGAATTACTACGACCTTACACAACAATTTTTTTATTAACGAAAAACAAAACTGACTTCAAATATCTCGCTTAATAAATACTGAATCTAATATAATAAAATCTTGAAAATCTAACCAATATAACGTAACCTACCTAACCTCTAAAAAATTTAACAACTTTTGGAGTCGGTGCCAAGTCATCAGTATCACTGATCTGAGCATAAAACCATTCTTTTAAGTTTGTTTCACAATTTAAGTGAATTAGATACATAATTAAATACATATAACAATCTTTTAACCTATTTGTTAGACAACCGCAGTATTAATTATTGCTTAGCTTTTTTCTATTTTTAGCAAGGTCGAGTGGAACGTTGACCATGAAATTTTACCGTCGGGCATAACCATCGATTCGCATCTTTACTGCCAACAGCTAATGAGACTCAAGCGAGGAGTTGAGAAAAAACAGCCGGAATTGATCAAAAGAATGGCCTTTCGAAAATTCTATACCATCAGCAATATTTGAAACAGTTTGACTTGGAAGTCTAATACATCCACCATAGCCCTGAACTTACGCCCTCAGATTTTCAACTAGGTTAACATCAACAAAGGACTGCCAAAACTATTCTTCCCGTTTTTTTATCAGAAGACCCAAAGTCTCTACAGCAATGGTACCTACAAAATGGGAACAAGTTAGCGAATAAAATGGCACATATATATTATAATTAAATGTAATAAAACTCCCGAATTTTTGTATGAAATACGTACGTGAATAATAAATAGATCTAGAACAATTATCTGAAAGCGATCATAGAACCTACGGTCTGCAGCGATTAGCAACGCCACTAACTAAGTATTAAAAATTAAGCTAAATATTTAAAATAGTCATTAAATTGATGCTAATGGCGGAATCGTAGTAGTACGGTCAAAGCGCTGTACGATGTTTTCACCAACTGTAACAAAGGTTCATTTTGTACATTATATATGTATAATACATTTGCTTTTGTATTTATATTTACTTGGAATAATACCCTCACTTTTTTGTATATCATGTCTCCGTTTATTGAAGACACTAATATGCTATAAATATAAGTAGTTGCAAACAAAATTTTTTATGATTTTTTAAATTTTTTTTTTCATAAAAAAATCTTGTATTAAATACTAAATACATACTAACATTGGCATAAGAAGCCAATGACAGATCATACATGCCCCCGGCCGTAAGGACGAGCGGTTTGTTAGCACGTGTGAGGATTAACAGGAGGCTGGATCGTACTCCGGGAATTGTTGCCAAACCGCGTTCCCAGCCCGAGCAATACAATGCCGTACCGATGCCCTCGTTCTGAAATTAATTTAACAAGTCGCGAGTAATAATTTATGGTGACCGCTGTTTTGCGCATCGGAATTCAACGCTCAAGTCGAGTTTCCGGTTCTCACATGCAAAAAAACCACCACCGCGCATTTGTGACCATAAACAATAACTCTGGTAGAAACGTGATTTGGGTCCAATGGCTTGGAAAGCTAGGATCTTCACACTAAAAACACCGACGCTGAATAGGTCGGCAAAATACGCATATTGCTCGGTTTAAATGAACTAAGAACTGTTTTTAATTATTTCGCTCACGGACGCCTATGTAAGCACTTTGTGTAATCTCAAGCCTAATTGCGTGTTAAAATATGTTTTGTTACATTAATAACCTATTAAAAATCATTCACAAAGAACTATTAAAAATCATTCGATAAGTATGTATCGAACTCGGGTTTAAAATACTACTTGATTCTCTGGGTAGGTACTTGAAATATCTAAATATATATGTCTTAAACAAAATTTCCCACCAACCTGTATCGTCACTTCCTCGGCACAACTACAAAGTACATAAAGTATTGTCATGTTATATCCGAGGTAAAAAAGACTCATCAGGCATTTAGTCAAGTTCACAGATATGGACTGCAAATGAAAAGGTTCAATAAACATTATATACAAATGAAGTTAACGTACTGGTCATCACAGTTCAGGACGACGCCCACTAGATGGGGTGAGGACCTGTGTGAATTTGATGATGATAATGAAATTAACGTTATAATTAACATTTGAGCAAATATCATCAGACCTGTGAGGTGAATCACGATTTAATATTTACGATCGTGCTTTTGAACAGTAATTGCTTAACATTTTAATCTTGAAAGTGTCATAAAGTAAAGTATCCTATACAGGTCCCGCTGTTGGGCAAAGGCCTCCTCTGTACAGAGGGTATCAAGTATCATAGTCCATCACTTAGACTTCACATATCTTCGAAAAAATTATTTTTGTTATTATTTCGAAAATATGCAGGTTTCCTCACGATGTTTCCTTCACCGCTGAGCATGTCATAATGAAGCACTTAAAATTAATAATTTCATTGGTGCCGGCACCGGGGATCGAACTCAGGATGCTCGAGTGTATTGAATTAAAGGGGAGCGCCCGGACACTGAGCTATCACGGCTCATGAAAATACCATACGGCAGTATAAATAAAACTTTTACATGTGGTTACTCTTCAAATTAATTAATAATGACAAGCATTCATGCTAAATTACATCCTTTACAGCCGTTGCATCTTCTGGTGTCAAGGCAAGAGTGAATCAGCTTTTGCCGAGAACGTTATTTTACCACCATTACCATTTATTTACCAACAAGTGAACCAGTAGTCAACCACAGTCGACGAGCCAGTACTTGATAAAAAACCGACAGCACATAGTCCACCAAGCGGCCGTTTTGCTTTAAGGCGAACTTCACATATCTAAACTTTTCTCAGACTCACATCTTCTCTCATTTTAATTTTCTCTAATTAAATCCGTCACTGTGCTAACTGCATTCATTAATGATTCATACTTATAAAAAGAAAAAGATAACCATAAAAGCTTTTAGTTATAGACTACAGGAATTTTCAATAAATTTTCATAATGTTCTTTATAAAAAAGACTAAAGACTACAGGAAATTTCAAAATATTTACCAATTAGGTACTCTAGATTACAGTATCCCAAAAATTGCTTTACTAGTAGTTGTTGCCCTGTGTGAAATCTACTACTACGAAAGTATATGTTTGCCCATTTTATTAATTAATACGAAGAGATTGGTGTAATGAGGTCCTGGCCTTCTCAATATATTATTTTCGGGCTGATGTGGCCTAAATATTGGCGAAAATACTTTCTCTTGACCTAGTACCTATCACAAAGGAACGCTATTCCATTTAAATATTGTTCCGGCAACAGTGTTGAAAAAAGAACATTATTTTTATAAAATAAGTTTCGTAGGAAGCAAAGAGCATGTTTACATTTTGCTAAATAATTCACTATATGTAGATTGTAATATGATTTTCGCTCACTCAGTTGTAGCTAAGTAAACTAAACATCTCAATTTAAAAGTTTAGTGAAAGCTGAACTGAATATCAAAATCCATATGGATATGAAGTGGTGTAGACGGTATTATTTTGTTACTGTTGTAACAACTTCAACTCACCAAAATAACTTGGTATGCGATGGAACAAATCAATATTGTGCTCACCGCCAGTTGACACAACATCGGGCCACTTAGAATGTTACGCAGCTCTAAAGTATTACTGCACAAACAAATACATATTATTGTGTTAACAACGTGAAAAAAAAAATTTAGATAATCTTATTAAAAACGTGTGTAGTCGGAGAGCTTCTTAGGGAATGAAAATTTTTAGCCCGTTTCCTCAACTTCAAATGTAACTTATAATTAAATCGGCATGCATTTTTATTTTTATTTTCTATCATTATTGCCAATGCAAATTATGGAATCAGATCAAAAAGTTTCATTTAATACTTAGGAAAAATATTCATTAGCAACCCTAAGCTGCTAGATTAACTAGCATAATTTAGATAAAGATGAAGAGAGATTCGTCAAAAGTGGAGGGAGAAAGCATAACGATTTTTGCTTTTGTGACAATGATAAAGTCATGCCTCCGTCAAGCCGCGTTCAAGAAAGTTGGCTCTACAAGGTATACTAATGCACTATAACATTATGCTTGTTTTAGTATGCTATTGCGTAATAAATCAACTTTCTGAAATAAAAACAAATATAATACGAATAATGGGTCATAAAAAACAAGATAACTTGCAAAAATAATAGTATATAAAACAATTACTTTAAAATAAACCTGTGTTGATTTATTAAATTGCGTAATCTCTCAGCATATTTCCTTTTGAATCGCTCATCTTTAAACATTTGGCTTTCGGTGTATCCTAAAAGAAATTTAGAAATACAGTTTAGGTGTTATTTTAGAAAATAAATTAGATAGAAACTAGAGAAACTACTAAATTGTCAGATTGTTTCATATCAATGAGTTACTATACCTTTTTAGTCTTTTTAGAGTTACCCTGGACTGCTTGGGCAGTCGCTACCATGCAAACAGCTTTTAAGCAATATGTTTTAAAACTCATAGCGTTATCAACTCACGAATTGGGTTCATGACCAAACCGTGATCTTAATTCGCGAAAGCTTTACTCCTTAATTTTTCTAAACAAGAGAATCACATTTGGCCCATAGAAAGATCATGCTCTATATCGTATTTAGCACAATTTCAGGATAATAAATATTTTTAGGGCAAATAATCTTTTCACAACGTTTTTTTTTTCCTTGTATTCACGCGATTACACATTATACAGAACCTCTGTCCCGTGACCATGAACGTTGTAAAGGGTTCGAAACGTCGGCAATTAAAATTAAAAATAAACGCGATAAATTCGCAAAAAATAGTTTCATTTACACAACGTTATCTAGACCCAAACTAAGTAAAACTGTGGTACGGTATTTGCTGCTGTACGAACGGGCAGGTCCGTCCGGGTAAGTACCACGACCTCTCAGAAGACCGACTAAGTGTCATACTTCGGCGTTTCATCTGGTGAGGGAGTAGCCAGAGTCCACTTTACTTTTTTTTTTTTTTTTTTTTTTACCTTTTACTTTACGCTTCGTGCTTCCACACGGAACGGACGTAACTCTGAGCCGGAGGGCCCATGCCAACCGACCCGGAAGCCATTTTGCAACCGTTGTTGCTACTTATATTATTTCTTTTCTCTCTTGGTGTGCACTGCTTGCCTCATCGTTGTCGTGTTTCGCGGTCTACGGTTAGGGAAGTCTCAAGCAAGAAGAGTGAAGAAAAATTATAGAAGAAAGAAGAAAACGTTATAGAAGAACGAAGAAACCTTGCCCGACTTCCGAGCGGATAGTGTTAGTGTAGTGTTGTGCTCGTAGGCAGGTTCCTGTCCGTAAGTAGAATTCTACACACATTTCTCGTCTCAGAGGCGGCATTGTAATTTTTACCTGTATGCTTGCTGCATTAGGCGACCGCTAGGTACTCACCCTAGCGCACCTAAAGCGCAGGCGATTAAAGGTTAATTTTAGGCACACACCTCCCTGCCGCAAGGTGGGGAGGCCTATTTAGAAAACACACGCCGGCGGGGCGCAAGCCCCAAAGGCACAAGCGTCGTCATGGGTTCCCTCTTAGAGGAGTTCCTTCGACAGGAATGCCCCGAAGTATGGGCTAAATATTTAAGTTTCGCGAGGGAACGACGCCTTGTCGTCGAATTCTCCAGCAACAGTCCGGCTTCACCGGCTGCCGCCTCGCCGTCATCTCTGGTGCCCTCTGCGCCAGCTATTGTGTCGCCCTCTGCGACAATTGATACGCCCGTCGCGTCGACTTCCGCCGCCGCGAACGAACCCAACGCGCCTTCCGCGCAAACCATTTCGGCCCCCTTCCGCGCTGTCGTTCCCGACTCACAATCGGACGGCGGCTCAGACATGGAGGTCGAAACGACCCCCGCTAACAACGCGAACGCCGACGGCTTCACCGTCGTCAAATCGCGAAAAAAAAAAAAGGGCAAGAAACGCCCCGCTACCGACAGCGACCCCGAAAGCGAGGCCGCCCCGTCAAACCGTCCCACCGAGACGCCCGCCAAAAAGGCAGCCGCGTCTGCCCAGTCGGAACCGACATTCGCCTCCGAGCGAAAAACCAAGCCACCGCCGCCAATAATAATACAAGATAAGGCAAAGTGGCACCAGGTTTGTTCGTGGTTTGAACGCCACAACATCTGAGACCCCCGGTCCAAGAATACGCATATGGGTATCCGCGTATACCTCGATTCTTCGGACGACTTCCGTCGCGTAACTAAGTACTTGCGCGAAGCTAAGGTAGGTTTCCACACCTACTCACTACCCGAAGAGCGTAAACTTCGGGTCGTAATTAAGGGCGTCCCAAAAGAGTCGGATGTCGATATGGCTAAGGTCGACATCCGCACTCAGGGATACCCGGTTCACGCCGTGCGTCGTCTCAGGCACCCTCGCACCCGTGTCCCTATGGACATGGTCATGGTGGAACTTGACCCTACCCCGGAAGGTAAGGCCATTTTCAACCTTAAGAGGGTCTGTGGGCTCAGTGACTTAGTCATCGAGCCCCCACGTAAATCAGGTGTTGCGGCACAGTGCCACAACTGTCAACATTTTGGCCACACGGCCAATAACTGCTTCGCTCACCCGTACCCGTCGTAAACGCCTGGGCGAAACCCCAGGTGGCCGCGCAGGTAACCGCGCCGGTAATCCCGGTCGCCTCACGACCGATCGCGCAACAGCTGCCCGCCTCTCAAACGGCGCCGCGGCCGCAGGTGCAGCCAATTCCGTCAGTTTTCGCGGAAAACAAGGACGACCCATTCGCGCAAATAGCTAACATCTGCAGCTTATTAGATAGAATCAATAGGCAGGAACTCGCCGTATTATCCGCTAAAATAGCGGCCGCCACATCTGGCCACGAGCGTCTTAGGGCAATTAGCCAACACAAAACGCTTGTGGAAGCCCTTTGGGCTTTTACGAGCCAACCGTAAAAAACAATAGTCCGCGCAATAAAACCACGCTCCGCCGCGTCGTTAATTAGACCCATAAAAACACCTTAATGGGAAGTACAACCGCAGGTAGAACAAAACCTCGGGCTCTGGTTGTTTTGTATTTCAACGCAAACGGCATAAAGGGTCAAAGGGATGAAATCGCGGAATTCCTTCGCGATTATAACGTAGATATTTTCCTAGTGCAAGAGACATTCTTGAAACCTAGTGTACGCGATCCCAGAATCGCAAATTACAATATTGTCCGCCACGACCGGTTAGCAAACCGTCTGGGAGGCACACTTATTTATTATAAACGGTCCTTGCACTGTTGCCCGCTCGACATTCTAGAGCTAAGTCAAATAGAGGCATCCGCGTGTAGGTTAGCGCTCACCGGCTACAGGCCGCTTGTACTAGTCTCAGCCTACCTCTCGGGGAATAGAACCCTCCTTCAAAGCGACCTAGATACGCTTCTTAACTTAGGCCCTTCCGTGATAATTGCAGGAGATCTAAACTGCAAACACGGCTCTTGGGACATCAACAGCATCCCAAACAACAACGGAAAGCATCTCTTTATCCGATATCCTAAATTTTAGTATAGTCGCTCCCGCGACTCCCACTAGGTATCCTACGGTGGACAACTACCAACACGCGTCACCGAGTGTCCTAGACATAATGTTATTCAGGGAGGTCTCGCTCGACATCGAGTCGATAGAGACAATCCATGAACTAGACTCAGACCACAGGCCCGTCCTGTGTAAACTGGGCCAGAACGCCGGCGCGGTCCCTCCGACCAAATCCGTAGTGGACTGGCATCGTCTTGAGGTCAAACTCAAGGCCTTGGACCCCCAGGACTTAGTAGACCTACCCGAGACGATAGCTACGTTCGATGACGCAAATCGAGCGATAGCGAGTCTCCGCGAAACTATCACTTCCGCAGTCAAAGACTCGGAACGGACGGTGAAACTGTCGGGCGACCGACGGTTTAACTTTCCGCCCGACCTGCGACTGCTAATTAGACAGAAAAATGCAGCCAAACGCGCCTTCGACCGATACCGATCGGAATCGAACCGAACCCTACTTCGACGCCTTCAGCTAGAAGTCAAAGATCGTGTATCGGAACACCGACACACAACGTGGGACACTCTCCTAGAGGACATCGAGCCATCGCACACCGCCTACTGGCGGTTGGCCCGCAGTCTGAAAGCAGACCCCCGCGAATCTCTACCGCCGTTAGTTAGACCTAATAGCGCTTCAGTAGCCCTAGATGACTCCGAAAAAGCCGAATGCCTTGCGGACAATCTAGAGCAGCAATGTACGCCATCGCGCGATCACACCGATTCGGTCCACCTAACGGAGGTGGACCGCGTAATCGAGACTAGGGCTGCGCTTCCACCGGAAGGCGAACCTTTAAATTCAGTGACCCCCGAAGAGGTCCAAGATATTATTAAAAATTTAAAACCAAAATCCGCCCCGGGCCCAGATAATATAAGTAATAAGATTCTCAAAGCTCTCCCTGGGCCGCTTATCTGTTTACTGGCGACAATTTTCAATACGCTTCTCTCCAGTTGCTCCTTTCCGGACGACTGGAAGCAAGCCACGGTTATCGGCATTCGCAAGCCGAATAAACCAGCCAATAAGCCCTCCAGCTATCGTCCCATCAGCCTCCTCAGTTGTCTGGAGAAGCTCTACAAGCGGCTATTGTTAAACAGGCTCAAAGAGCACGTATTTTCCAACGGCCTTCTGCCGACGGAACAATTCGGCTTTCGAGCTAGACACTCTTGTCCCGATCAGTTATATCGCCTAACGGAGCACTTCCTAAACAGCCTTAACCACCCCAAACACATCAGTACAGGGGTTCTCTTCTTCGATGTCGCAAAAGCATTCGACAAAGTCTGGCACAACGGCTTGCTTTACAAGCTGTACACACTCAAAGTGCCAGATAGGCTCGTACACACCATCCGGGCCTTTTTGTTGAACCGCTCTTTTCGATATCGAGTCGAGGGCACCCTCTCCACAAGCCGCCGCCTCACGGCCGGCGTACCACAAGGCTCCTGCCTCTCACCCTTGCTATTTACGCTCTACACGAGCGACATACCTAGAGACCCCCACGTCAATCTCGCGCTTTTCGCGGATGACACGGCGCTCTTTTACTCAGATCGCAACCTCAGTCAATTAACAACTCGACTCCAAAGCGCCGCCGACTGCCTCGGCGATTGGTTCAGCAAATGGAGAAACGATATTAATCCAGAAAAAAGTGTGGCGATTCACTTCACTCGTAGCACCCCCAACCCCCATCCGCCACACCGTTACAAAGGTCCTCGCCAGTACAGAAAGTTGGAGCAAATATCACTA